GTCTCTGATGCTAGCTGGGGAGTTTAGTTGTGTGTATATTGACTATACAAATGCATTAGGCCCCGTAAGTCATTTGCACAAGGAATATTCCATGTATATGAAGTAATAAACTACTTTGTGTCTACGGTTCACATCCGTATGTTCCTGAGGAGCAGCTACATTGGAAGAGACTAGCAAGGAGTCACTGGACTCTCCAGTTTCATTGTGTCCTGCCTGGTTTTCAGCTGTTAAAGGTAACAGCCTTTTGAGGAATCATGGAATCACCTGGGTTGGAAAAGATCTTTAATATAAAGTCCAACCTTCACTCCAGCACTTCCAAGGCCACCACTAACCCATGGCACTAAGGGCCAAACCTCTACTTTTTCATAAGCATCGTCACATACCTCTTCTCCTTTGCTTTGCAAGTTATAAATCCTTGGTTTCCTCCCATATTTTTTACCAAGCCATGGATTTTTGCCATGTAGAACCAGTAAATAGTAACATCATTTAAATTCTATGTCAACAGCAGTTTCCCATCCAAATTAAGCAGGACTTACTCTTCCAGTAAGTACAGGTCAGAGAATGGGATTCAGCCATACCCTTGTGGTTGAAAACCTCCCAGTTTGTGTTTCTAGGTAAAGGGGGCTTCTCTTATTTCCCCTTCCACACATTTCTTCTGGGGATCAACTTACTGTCTGCAAACCGTGGCAGCCAGCCAGTCTATGTCAGCCTGCTGCACTTTGCCAGCTTCCCCCAGCAGTCTGGGAGGGATCACCCTTCTGATCTCTGGACTCTCAGCTGTGGCAAATAGTGCTTTTATCAGCACTGAGCATCTGTACAGCTAAAGTTTGTTTCAGGAGATAAATGAGCACAAATAGGGAGACATGCACAACATCCATCAGAATACAAGTATTCCCACTTTTCTAAAGCAGAAGTTATATGAAATTTTAATAACAGACATGTTACACAGCCTAAATATAGTTTGGGCTTTTTTCCCCTGAAGAAGTGCTAAGCCTCTGATTTTATTCTTTCTTAACCACCTCCCTTCAACCCTGCAGCCCCTCAGCAGGGTTTCGAAAGAAGCAGAAACAGCAGTGATGCTAAAGACCTTTCCTTTCTGGCATGAAATGTTGTGGAGGCTTGGTTGAGTTATAGGTTTTTGAAAATTGCCATTAACACTTTGTTCCTTGTGCTCTTCAGGTAAAATTTGCTCATATGCCAAAGAAACAGCCACAAATGAACTTTCTCTGAGAACCTCCAGGCACTCAGTGCCACCACAGCAGCAACAGCCTTGTGCTGGGAGGGCAGAGATGGGCAGCAGGCAGCAAGCAAGGCCATGCCCTTTGAATTCAAATGGTTGCAGAAACACAACCTGCAATCTGAAAGAAAAGATTCCTCTGCCAGCCATTGCAGTAGTTAATCTGCAAGTTTAAAGGGGTAAACTGTAAACTCTGAAAGTTCAGCATTCAAATTCTGGCAGTAATGTATTAGGGAGCCTGAAGGTTTTAGTGTACTGACATTCCATACAAGCAAGTCCCCACTTCTGCCTCACAACTGCCTCTGATTCACATCAGTCCAAGCACTAGAAAGACAGGACATTTCCAGACTTCCATTTGCTGTGCAGTTGTAACTTGGACACTGATCTTATACTTTTTATCCCAGGACCAGTTTCCTCACTCATTGTATGCGATGAAGAGTGATGGTTACAGTCTCAGAGCTAGTATTTCCCAGCATCTGATTTAGCAATCCAGATTACTCACAACACTTAAGCAACTTAATCTGTCAAATTCATGGGATTCAGGAAATCCTGAAGTGAACCCAGGTTGCTCTTTACCTTTGAGCACCTCACTATGCCAGTTTATTTTAGTTACTTGCTGCTTCTGACATCTCAATTTGGCTTATGAACTCTGGAGTACAACAGTGTAAAGGTGATATATCCAGTATACAAAAGGTCCAAGAGAAATGGGATTAGCAAGAAAATTCCATGAAGATGACAAGCTACTTCTGAAGGCTCTCAACAGCTTTTCAGACGTTAGATTGATTTCTTCCCTTATGCTAGGAGTTGCAGTAGTAGTGGTGGTGACTTTGCCAGTACAATGCAAAGCACTATTAAAGTTGAAAGAAGTAGCCCCACTGATTAGAGTGCCAGGTTCATCAACTGCAAAGACACATGCTGCATGTCTTAACTGCACTGAAGGAGGAAACAAGTATGTGCATTTGAAAAATTTGAAGTGTGAGGAAGACGGTGATTCTGAATGGTCCATAAGTGAAGAGCCATAGAGTAACAGTGCTATGCTTTGTCCTCCCTCATCCTGATCCAGTCCAGGGGGATTGGAATTGAAGAGTTAATTTGGGAAGCTTTGCTCTCACAGCCTCTCCCAAACTGACATAGTTTAGTGATGGGCTTGGCAGTCCTGAGGTAAAGGTTGGACTTGATGATCTTGAAGGTCTTTTCCAACTTAGTTGATTCTGTGATTCTAAATAGCAGCACTGATGTTGAAGTGTGTAGTTACAACTTCATGCGTTTCTTCACTGATTTAGGGAAAATGCTCAATTTAGAACATTCACAGTAGTGAAGTTTACCTTGTCTTTCTAATCTGCTTGGTTGCAATTGGATTTGCACCAGTCTCCAGAAAGAGTAGCTACACAGGATAGCCCATGGTCGGCCGCAGCACAGGAGTACAAATGAGATATACATAATGATAAAAGTCCATTAAGAGGAAACTTTGACCATTACTCAGACATAGCCTTTGGGCATGGAATTGTAAAGCACAACTAGATGAATAAATAACAGAAAATGGTCACCATGTGAGTTTTGAGAAGTGTCCAAATGCATTTTAAACTAAAATGAACTGTTCTTTAGTGAGTCCACTAATTTATTCCAGCCATCTGTGTCAGCGTAAACAAGAGCTTGTCTCCTAAACTGCTTCATGTTTTTTTTAGACGTAGCAAGAACCACAAGTTTCAACATGATCATCTTGGAGGAAGAAAAAAAATCATCAAGAAAGAACCCACATATTTTCACACCACAAACATCTTTTGATAACTACTATCGTGCAATTAAAAAAAAAAATTAAAAAGTAAAACTTGTTTCTGGCATAGCATAATGTTTTCCTATTTAAATTCCACCAAATGTTTCTTTAGGATATTTTAGGGGATGGAAAAATCTGTCTGTTCCCCCCTCCCCCCCACCCCAAACCCCAGTGTTGATATGTGTAGACACACCCTGTACTTATTAATAAGCTTGAGAACTGATGAATTGATGCCCTGGGTTTGCCCTGGTCTAAAAGTTTTTTCTCTATATGAGCCTCAAATTATTTTCAGTCTCTTAATGTGCTTCCCATGCTGGTGGTCCTTAGCTAGGTAGAATAGTCAGGAAATCTGAGTGTTTAAACTAAAAAGTATCCACATTTGGCATGAGTCTTCCCTGGATAAAAGCAGCTACAGACCTCAGATTAAGATGGGATTTGGGAATGTTGAACCTGGGGAAGAGGAGGCTGAAAATAATTTACAGGAGGAGTATGCTGGACTTAGTTTTAGAGATACTGGGCAGCCATAGAGTTACATCAGATCGAATCAGCCTTTCTGGACACAAAACAGAAAACTTGAAATCATATCTCATAGTTGTGGTGGTGGATGGGGGGGGGGGGGGGGGGGGTGCGGGTCGCATTCATCTCTCTCAGCCCCAGGTGTTAGAAGCAAAGGGTGCTCCTTCCTTTCCAGGCATATACACATCTGGAATGAGAAGAATGAAAACAAGTTTGGTTTTGGAGGATCAGACCATTTGTGCTCAGATCTTGTTGACTACATTCTTTGCCTCTTCTATATTCCCTGTGGCAGCAAGTTTCTGGCAAGGGTAAGGTCTGCCTTTCGAAAAGAGGCATTTCATCGTTCAGCAGTGAAGTAGGACAAACTGATACCCAGTTCACTAGAGATTCCTCTACATGTCAACTGGCTGCTGTCTGTACAAACTGACCTTCCAGCCATTTTTCCCCAGTGGGGAAAATGGGCAGAGGTCTCCAAATCTCTCCAAATTTCCCCCAGTGGGGAAAATGGGCAGAGGTCTCCAAATCTCCAACAAGTCAGACTGCCAAGCTATTAGAGAACTTTACTACATACCTAACTTCTGGCAACAGCGTTTCTCCATTCAGATTATAGAATCCCAGGCTGGTTTGGGTTGGAAAGGACCTTAAGTTCCAACCCCCTGCCATGGGCAGGGACACGTCAGACTAGACCATGTCACCAAAGGCTCTGTCCAACCTGCCCCTGAACACTACCAGGGATAGTGGTGAATTCACCCCTTCCAACAGCAGCAGGAGCATCAGTAGGAGATCAGCAATATTTTTTCCAGGGTTTCTGTAATTTTGTTGCTTTCCTGAGATCCTGACAAGGTAAACTGGCCTGTTGAATGATTTGCAACATACTACCAGTGTTTACTACTGATGTCTGTAGTTGCCCAGAACTTGTTTGAACTTTGATAGCTTTTCAAATGCCTCACAAAACATACCTTTTATAAACTGTGGCCACTGGTTGGTTTTTAAATTACTATTTTGTAGAGAAAAAATGCGACCAGATTAACATCCTGCAAACAAACTTGATGTCTTTTGATTGGTCTTATTTAGGAGTTCAAAAAAGAACAAATGGCTTTGTGTTTTCCGAGAAGAAATAACAATAAGTGATGGTAACTCAACTTACGTGTACTTAAGCGTACTTAAGCCTTTGTGTCCACAATATACTCATTCCTCTCATGGCTCAGACCAGCAGTTCTAAGCTAGGTTAACACCTTTTAACACCTTCAGCTATGCCCTGTGACCAAAGAAAGAAATCTGATAGTCATTGCATAGTCTATTATGAAAGTACTAATGACAACACTACAAAAGAAGACCATAGCAACTGATGGGAGCTATATGCTTGCCTCATGAAAAGCAAAGCCAACGTAGTAGGCAGGTTTACCAGAGAAATCTTAGGGGGTTTTTAGTTTTTTGCTAAAAGCAAAACAAGGATAGACTTACCTTGTCTGCTGTGAACGCTTTTCTCCCTAGCATAGGTATAACACATGGCATTCCCAGAGGCCTGTCTTTTTGCTTGCTTAGAGATGACAATTTACAGGTGACATGAGTTGTTTCACTGTGTAAGAGCATATATGAATTTTATATTAACAGACATCTTCTTATTTAGTTCTTATAGTACACAAAAATGAGTATTTTATTGTTCATGTTATTTAAATAATAATATTACAGCTTTTTAATATATTAAAATAATTTTCTAAGAGAGGCCACTGTCTTCTTCAGGTCTTTACAGTGCTCCGTGTAGCAGACCACAACTATAACTTGAGTTTTATAACAGCCATCAACACCAACAGACACAGGTAATTAACTTGAATATTTTAAGATAAGCAAGGAAATACTGCTGGAGAAACATTGTTTTATGGTGCTTTACCTTGCATAAATAATTGCTGTAAGGTAACATAGTGCTTGGGCTGGAAAAGAAGTAGAAGCCTCCAAAGCACTAACCAGTACGTCTTTTGTCTTATAACTTCCAGCAAATAGGGCAAAAGAACAAAAACTTGACTATGTTTTCTGTGGGGAAGCTCAAGAAAATCTCTTCCCTACCTTGTCACAGAGCTGACTTTTACCGAGGACCTATACACTGCATAGAAGAGCTCTGATTTCCACTTATAAGTGTCAGATGTGGCTGTAGCCCCCAGCTGTTTTTATCAGATGATGGATACAGGCTATCTCCAGCCTTGGTTGTTGGCTCAAGAACTGAAGCTTAGATAATATGAATGACTTGTAGGACATCCCTATGCCCTTGCTAAACTACTAGGCTGATAGCAAGCTAGTCATCTGTCTTGGACTGTTTTGAGCCTATTTTACCACTTCAGAAACAGCTACCTTTACAATCAGCCACAGTTATTACCTTCTTGGCAAGGCAAAATGAATAGGAGGAATTAATTCCTACCCAAGGTCCTTGCAAAATATGGGCAAGGCGTTAATTCACTGCCACCCGAGCCTAAGGTAGCAATTGTCAATAGCACAAACAGGCTGCATCATCATTTTCGCTCTAATTTAATCAAGGTCATATTAGATCGCTACAGCAAATCAAGCAGAGTCAATCTGATAAAAGATAAATCTGAGCTAAACCAGTTTCCTTCTGGAAATTAACCCTTTTATCACAAACATTACCCATTGATGCAGGCCATCTTATTGCCACTGAAAATGACTACTGCTATATAGCACTGTGCTTTAATAAAATAAATCCTCTCCCAGCAAATAAACCAAGATTACATTATCTAATCTCATGCCTGAATTTGTAGATTTTGATCAGATTCAAAACTTGATTTCTTGCTTTTATTTATATTGCCTCCAAAACTATTACTTCTACCTCTCTCTTTACCTACCACTAGCCCCCACATACCAGTTGCCCTTATGATACCTTTCCTAGACAAGTGTCTTGCACACACAATGCTATCGTTTCTCTGGTCCATCTATCATTGCACACAGTATTATAGAATCAACCAGGTTGTAGAAGACCTTTAAGTCTCCCACAGAAAACCAACCCCTTTCATGGAACCCTGAAGCGTATGTCTCACCAAAAACGTGCTGTATTATGCTGGGTGCGATTTCTCACATGCAAGGTTAAGATCTTAAGTAAAAATAACAAAACAAAACCAACCAACCAAAAACAATAACCGAAAAAAGGTTAAAAGTCTTCATGTTTTCTTGCTGGTGTTTGGTTTGAAGGGGGGTGCTTGTTTGTTTGAGGAATATATTCAGCCAAGCTCCTTCTGCAAATCTGGACCAGTTATCCCGTTTGTCATTGTAGCACCTACACGTTGCAAGTTTTTACTTTAACTGCATCATAAGCTATTGTTACAGAAACTTTCGGCTAAGCTGCATCACACCTTCCTGCAGAATGCCTGCACTTAGGTGGAGTACAGCCACCACAGCAGGGGAGGAAAGTGCGATCTCCACCTGGCTGGGATGCATGGAGATGTGGAGAGAAGGGGACAGATATAGCCCTTTTAGCCCACACAGCAAACTCCTGCTTCAAACATTCCCAAAACTTGAAGGATCCCTCCCCCGTGCCTCATAGCACCTACATACAGAGCTTCTATAGCCAAAACAGGGCTCTTTTTTTTTAGGCTTGTCAAATACTGACGATGAGATCATAGGTGGATGCAGACTTGTCATTTCACACCTATTGCAGAGGGAACCTACATCACCGTCACTGGATAGAAAAGCATTTAAAAGGCCTTTTTGTTTTTTATCCTTTCTCAATCACAGAGAAATTAGTCCTCACCATATAAAACTACTGTAAATACCAAAGTCAATGGAGCTATGACAATTAAGATTGACTAAGGAGCTCCCCCCTACACACGCACAGCCAGACCTGCAGTTGAACCACGTTGTAACAGACTGCCTGGCCCATCTGTTTGTTACGCTTGTTTGTTATTTTCCCATCATATACTTAAACTGTCATCTCTGGGTTTGGGTTCTGTGCTTTGCAAGTACATGCCAGCCATTTAAAGATGATGAGCTCCCCCCATTAAAGCCATGGTAACACAATTTCCCTTGGAGCTGATTTTGCACTGCTTGAGTAATGTGACGCTGAGCAAGTACTACTTGCTGCAGATGTAGGTTGTGATCTTGCGAGGGACAAGCCTTGGTATCAGCAGGATTTATGTGGAAGGATGCAGGCTGTGGCAGGGAGACGGAGCTGGCTTTGCTGCTTCTAGTGAGACTGTTTTTCCTATTAAGTCTCTACCTCCATCTCCTACTGCTTCCACAGAACAAAACGAAGAGGGGACTAGTAGATGAGAAATATTTATGACTAGCTGGAACCTCAAAGTGTTTTGGAATAGAAGTAATATACTTGCAAAAAAAGTAATGTAAGTTCTATAAAAAAACCGAAATTTTTTGGTAAACTATGTCATAGGGTGTTGATTTTTTATTTCCCTTTAAGGTTGAAAAAAAGCACTCAAACCCCAAAATGCATAGAACCCCTTTGGCCAAAACATACTCAGTTGGAAGAGCACACTGTTTGCCATTTAAAATTCCTCCAACTTCACTTATTTATGTAATTTTGGGCTCTATCTGCAGATTGTGATTTTCAGTTTCAAAATCAGTTATTTTTCCTACCAACTATAAGATGTTGTATTTTAGCACCCACATATTGTAATGAACCACAAGTTGAAGACTTGAGAATCTGTATAGTGATGAATTTGTCATTCCCTTCTGCCCGTGGTTGAAGGGATTTATTCTCTTTATTAATTTTTTTCAAAGCCTATCTAACATTGCAGAAAGTCTGGCTGGGTGTTTGATGATAATTAGCTAGAAAATTAGCCTGCTAGAAATGTTACTCATCAAAATACCATTGAGTCCTAGGCAGATTGCAAACCTCTGGTGGAAAGTGTCCCAGAGACAGACAACTTGGTTGCATCAGGTTTAAATTGCATCAAGTATTGATTAACGTCTCTCTCAATTAACTATTGCCAACTTTAAAGGTAAACCAGACTGTTCATATACCTGTCATTTTAAGAGATCATTTAGGGACAGATTCTCAATTATGTTAGGGTTCAGTTGTACTAGTCCATAGGAGCCCAGAGACTCTGCTGAGGTAATGGTTGCTGAGCATCCTACCACTAACACAGTGCCCATCAGCTGTGCCTTGTCTCCTCCATAGCAGCAAAGGAGCATTCATCATAGGAGCCTTCCAGTGTCTGAAGGAGGCTACAGGGATGCTGGAGGGGGACTCTTCATCAGGGAATGTAGCAGTAGGACAAGGAGTGATGGGTTCACACTGAAACAGGGGAAGTTCAGATTAGATCTAAGGCAGAAGCTCTTCCCTGTGAGGGTGCTGAGGCGCTGGCACAGGGTGCCCAGAGAAACTGTGGCTGCCCCATCCCTGGCAGTGTTCAAGGCCAGGTTGGACACAGGGGCTTGGAGCAACCTGCTCTAGTGTGAGGTGTCCCTGCCCATGTCAGGGGCTATGAACTGAATGATCTTAAGGTTCTTTCCAACCCAAACCAGTCTGGGATTCTATGAGGCAAAGTAGGATACTTATACACAAGCTCAGCATCAGGGAAATGAAGATTAAAGCTCCTTATACTTCTTCTTTCAGGACAGCAGCATGTGCTTTGCATTCTTCAGTTTAAATACATCTATTTAAAAAGTATCCAGTTTATCAAAAAAATCTATGTCTGCCAACATCATTATTTGGTGTTCTGTTTACTGAAGGTCATTCATTATTTGTGATAATCTGTTGTTTGCAGAACACACTGCATGTGCATAAATCAAGGCATTCATTGATGACACTTTGAGGGGTTCATTTTGCCCAGTCACCTACAGTTAGCTTCAGCAAAGCTTTGTGTCTCCCAGTGATGAAGTCTTTAGGCACCCCAAACAAAGGGACAAGCAATTTCTTCTCCAATGGGAAAGCTGCTGCATATGGCATGAGCCCACAAGGATTCCCCTTTGCATTAAGATTTGAGACATCCTTTGGATCATTCTAGATAGCCTTTGACTAAACAAGCTGTCAGGTCCCACCAACTTCAAGGAATGTTTAAAAGGATGTGGTGTATGAAAGGAGTTCAAAACATCATCAAGTGCTATATCACAAATGGTTCCTGTTAAGTAACTACTGAAACAGAAGAGTGCATCTCTCAACTTCAGAGCAACTACAGTGAATGGAGTTTTACAACCCAAAGTACAGTTTTAGCCAACAATTTCAATAAAAGTAAGAGCAACACATGCCCCTTACAACCCTTGCCCACAAAGCCTGTGCACCAAGGCCTGAGATCAGCAAGCCCAAGGTGCAGACAGAAGCCTGCTCATGGAGCAGAGGGAGCTGTACACACAGAGTTTCCCAAAAGGAGACCTTTAAACCTGCTGCAAAGTCATAAATAGACACTGGACCCATTTCTGTTACTGATAACTTCCCTGAAGACAGAATCAATTCAGTTTGTTTCCTTGTTTTGGTCATATAGAACAGCAAGTGTAATTTCATCCCAACATGTACCTGAAGTTCATTGTATCTGAACTTCAAGGATGTGTATTTCTTCCATAAAACAGTGATACCAAATAGAAATGTGAAGAAAAGTACTTAAAATCCAAGTCTGTTTGGGCCATGTTTTACTATTAGAACATCTTGGTTCCTATTTGAGAAGCTGAGCATCTGAAGTTCCTGCAATACAGAAATTACTTCTGTTATCAATTTGCAAATTTTGGGTTTTTTTCTTTGCACCTTTATGATTTTATAAATGAATTAAACCTGCTGTTCAGAGCACAGATATCCTAAATCAAAGTATTTAGTCACAGCATCAGCACATTAAACCATTGCATCTACTTGTGCTCTTCATACCTCCCCAGCTAACCGAACCGTAGGATGTTTTGCAAAGAGAGAAGTGTGGGAGACCGTATAAATAACCAGAGCGTGTCTTATGCTTTTCTTCTCAACTCTCTTCCAACTCTTTGCTACAGGCTGTCACGCCTCCTCTTTCTCTTTCCACTCTGCTTTTACTATCTCGGAAAGTTAGACCTGTTTTGAAGTGCCACAAACACACTGCTGGGGCTGCACGTGCTGCTTTGGTCTGAGCTTCTGCCTGCAATACTCCTCTCCCCTTGTTTTGTTACCCTTTCCCCTTGTCTCTCTTCTGCCACCTGTTCTTCACCCTCTCTTCTCACTTGCCCTTTTTACCATGTGGAGCTTTTGCTTTTAACTCTGTCACAGCATCAGGAGCCTCTTTTTTTCCTTATTCCTCTGTGATGAATAGTTTACATTTGAGTATAAACTCAATCAATTTTTGTTCATTTTTAAGCAGACTGTGGCTGCTTTTGTAGCACTTATTTGAGTAAATAATGGGTCTGCAGAACACAAAACCGGCTTTGAAACCAAAGTCAATCTTAAGATGCTAAGGAGAAGAGTGACCTTCTGTCTGATTGATCCTGAGTCTTAGGGGATGGTCTACATCTGCTATGAGTTGGAACTATCCTCCTGCTTGGAGGAAAGCCAGAGCACTGGAAAAGAGGAGTTAAAAAAAAAAGGAAAAAATCGTAACCAGACAGCCTTTTGATAAAGATGCTTTGAAATGAATGAAGTGAATTAATGAAATCATTCAAACAGCAATGCAGGATGCATTGTGGTCCTTTCCTCCCAGTTTTCTCTTAGGTGGTTTCACGGTTTCCAGGTAAATATGGGAAAAGGGAAATATTTTTAATAGGGGAAATATATTTCCTTTCCCCATCTCTGTGGGTGAGCATTAAGAAGTATTTCTTCCAAATCACATTATGTTGCATTTTTATCTCACATTAGCTGGGGTGCTGCATCAGGGTGTGAAGATAACATGGTGTAACACACCATGAACTTCTTTTGCTCCATAAGGAATTACAGTATATGCTAAACTGTTGTTTAAAACATAGGAATTTGAGCATCTATAGGACTTGTGATTGGGATGCCTTAAGGTGGTTCTTATTATTACATGTTATGAAAAGAATGAACTAATCCTTTATTAAAAGAAGGATTAAGAAGAAAGCTGAAATGATTACAATATAAAGTTAAGCATCCAGCAACTCAGCAGTCAAAAGTCAGCCTGTCTCTAGCAAAATCAGTGCAAATCAATACTGATTAAGAATTTGGCCCAATATTGACAGGCAAAACCAGCAAATAAAGCCAAAAGGCAGATTCATCAAAGGTACTTGCAGATACAAATAATAATCTTCATAAAGTTAAAAAGGAGAATGACTGTAACAAATGGGCATAGACACACAGGGATACTGTTCGGTACGAAAAAGGAGCAGGTGACTTCTTTCTAGTTCCTCAAAAGATGTAACAGTGCAAGGACTAGTGAGGTGAGAAGGGAAATATTTATTTCTTATGACCTTTATGTTACATGCACCATAGAGATCATGCATTCTCATGCATCATTACTATGCTCTGAGCGAAGGCACCATGAAAGTTGAAAGAAGTTAAATCCCAGCCTCCTTAAAACAGTTGCAAAACTCACCTCTAGAATTAAGGTCCTTAAATCAGTAAGATTCCAGCAGAAACTAAAGAACTGATTAAGGGGATCCGAACATTGTAGCATAGATCCATTATTCCTTCTAGTAACTTCTCACAGTGTAAAAAGCCTTTGACTCAGCAAAGAATTCTTCTTGCTCCCATTGAGCTCTCTAAGCCTTTTGCCCCTGCTAGACACTAACTGATTTCATTGAGAACAGGGGATCTTAAATTAAGCAAATTTAACTCCAATTCATGTCCATCTATGGCAAAAGCTTAAAGAAGCAGCAACTGTTTCAGAAGGCAGATTTGCTCCAACCTCACCCTCCCCTGGGGTGGAGTGGATGATACAGCATGCTATGGAACTTCAGCTTTTGCCTTTTTTGGGGTAATTTTAGGGTTATGCAGGAGGGTAAGACCCTCTGTGCTTTCCTGTTGCAGTGTGTCCTTTGATCTAAGGGACCTTGGTTCAGAGGCTTGCAGGCAACACAGAGCTTTCATGCAACGAGCATGCAGTAAAGCAGCTGCGCATCCCTGACTCATCACCTTTAAAGCAAGTGTAGGCAGCATGAGGATAGATCCAGGTGACTGTGGGAGTCACCACCACTGTGAGCCAAGTGAATGCTCTACAGCTGTTCTTTATGTGTTTTTCCCCAGTTCTGCCCCCAGAACCCAGTGGAATAATGTGGACTACAGTATCCCTTTGTGGTTGTACAGGGAGGTAGCACCCATTGGTTCTTCCTGCATTGTCTTATGAACTTCATAGTCATTCATTGAATTAGATTGTATGACAGGATCCATCATCATTTACTTCCCATTTGTGGAATTTCTGTGTTTCAACTCTACAAATAACATCTAAGAGCCCCTGTTTGCCATCTTTGTAATAGAATAAAGAAGAACTAAGTGTGAGAAGTTTTTAAGAACAGCACAAGTGGTTCGTTTCATGCAACATAGCAGCAATTATTTTACCAGCTGCTTCTTTCTCTCTTAGATTTGGCCATAGTTGCTCTTGTATAACCTCTACACCATGATACCTGAAGCATCCACTTTTCTTTACTTTCCATATGTAGACTGGGAAGACAGCCTTAGAAGTGTTGCTTTTTGGAGTGCATTTCATGTTTAGATACTGCATAACATGGTCTTTCATGGTCTTCAAGTCCGTGGGATTTCAGAACCACTCTGCCTCCCCTTCCATGTGCCTGTCCTCCGAAGGATTGCCATGTGGCAGGCAATTGAGAAAGCCTTAGTAAATAATTAGGAATGGCCCCTTGTGCCAGCACTTTTCCTGTATTTTATTTTTTCATTTAAAGAGTATTACAGATACATGACCAAAAAATGACACTGTTCATCTGGTATCTTTGGCATAAACAGAAAACGTGAATTAAGGCTTTCTAATAAATGCCATAAAATGGATTTCTTGAGCAGAATAATGTGTTATCTATGGGTAATTTCCCATTAAAGTAGAGACTATAATTCTGATTAGACAAGGATATTATCTTTTCCAGTATGTTTCTGTCAATGCACTGATTCAGCAACCATTTAGACCCCAAGGTCAGGGCTGTTCATAAGTCCCATTGATTTCAAAGTTGAATGTCTGCCCAAGATTAAACACAAAGAAGAATGCTTTCCTAAAGCAATTTATTTAACTCTGTATGTAAGTGCTCTGTTGAATCAGGGCCGAAAAGCTTAGCAACAACTCGTGAAAGATAATGAGTGTGGGCCAAATACGTGTATTAGTAGCCAAAATGCATATAATGAGACAAGGAACATCATTGTTACTTGGATTTGAACCAAGATCCCCAAATGTATAAGCTAACCAGATCTTTAAATTGAATTTCTTTTGGAGCTTTGATCTTAAATCTAAATGGTGAGACAGGTTTCATGTACCTGTACATATCGGGGTGGCCCTTGGTTGTCTTCTGCCCTACATCTAGATCTACTTCCCAGAGAAGGCACAATGCTAGCAGCAGAGACAGTGGCTGGCTGAGTTTATCTTGTAAGGATGGTACGGATGAGATGATACCTGAATCCAGAGTTGGGGAGGGCTCTGGACCCCACAAGCTCAGGGCTGACACTCTTTTGTTCTGTGCAGTGTCTTCAAAAAGAAGTTTATTTTGAGTTTCTGTATAAAGGAAGTAGAAAGTCATCTTAACAAACACAGGAGATGATGAATCTGACAGAGTACAATGCAGATCAAAATGGTTTTAATCATTACCCCCTGCTTTAATTACTACTTGACACATTATCTGTATTGTCCTTCTACAAGTCTCTCTTTTTGAGTGAAATATTAAAGGCGAGTCACAGCTGAATATATATGCAGTCTAGGAAGAAAATGGCTTTGAACTATTTGAAATGATTTATTGTCCGCACTTCTTTATGAATATTTATTCGCCATCGTGAAAGCAATTCAATAAAGAGAAAACATGAGGACCAGTTAACGGAACATTTGCATACTCTAACAGCTCAAAAAAAAGGGAAAGGAAAATAATCTGGTGCATTAGAATGGTGTTAATGCCGTGGTTCTCCACTTTCCTGTCGTTAGTTCCAAATATTGCATGTATGAGAGCAAAAAGCTAAGGCCAAGGCTCTTAGGAATTCAGATCCTGAGAGGAGATATATAAATAGCCTGCAAGTAAGTGTCCCTAACCTTTATATATTCCCATTCAGAAGGACATAAATGTGTTTATGTGGGCATTTTCAAGGCCGGCGTGGAAACTCTGGTTTTGTTTCCATACTACTTCAGGTAGCTGGCTATGAAAGCTTGCTTTTAGCAACAGGCATACATAATCCAAGTCCTCATCTTGTCAGGGCCAGAGATCACTCGTTCCTGATGCTCCCCAAAGAAGTGTGGCTATCAAAAGGAGACAGGAACACACTGAGTATGTAAGCACGGCTGCATGCACCGAGACCACACACAGAGCAGAAATGCTTTCCTGCACTCCTCAGTGGGGGAACACGCTTTTTCATGGTACGTGCCCTCATTTCACCCTGCTTGAATTCATTTCATCGACCAGAAAGCACTATGCGTTAGACTTGGAATGAACTTTGTTCCTCAGAGCTTCTTAGCGCTATTCTGATACCCACTCACAGATGGGGCCTTGACAGATTTTCTACTGATTTTCATGATTCCTTTTTTCTTGATAGCTTTTTTTTTTTTTAAGCAGGATTGTTGCTGCTTGAGAATTCAAATGCAAATGGAGATGTTCACAGGCACTGTTTTGTAAGGGAGCTCAGCTGGTTGGGGTTTAGAGCTCATAAACTGCATCGTGTATCTCATGCAGTATGTGGGAAATAGTCAACTTGATATATAATAGTTCTAGAGGAGGATGGTTACAGGAATAAAACACAGACTTTGGACAAACGTATAAATTCTCTAGGCCTCAATTTTCACTTCTTTGGAGCAAGAATGATAATAATAATATGTATTTATAGTAATAATTATCATTATTATCTACCTGAAAGCTAGCTGTGAGGCTAATTCATTAATACTTTCAAATTACTTCGTGATCCTCAACTAGAATTTGCCCTGAAAGTACTAAATATTATAATTTGCACTGTATGCCTATTTCATTCTGCTCTGGAGAAAAACACACTTAATGTGTTCCTCTCTTTACATTTGTCTACATACCACATTCTACAATTCGAGCTGCTGAGCTCTTCTAGAGGTTAGTAACAGGCACATTTTACATTAGCTTATTTTATGCTTATTTGTCCCTCTTTTGTCATATCATTTTCCCCCCACCTAGGAATTATGGTACCTGATTTGGGGGAGTTTTTACTGCTTGTACACATACTGACATTGAGACCTACACTTGCTCTTTATTTCCGTGCCTGAATTTGGAGTTGCCAATGGAACCACACATTGGTTCTTGGAGGTCAGAGCTCTCTTGATGTATGTTTTAAACATATTGTGAGTAGAATCGTAGAATCATAGACTGGTTGGAAAGGACCTTAAGATCATCTAGTTCCAACCCCAGGGAGCTTCTCTAAGTTACACATAGACACTGCCACATATTACATGCCTGATTATATTTGTAGGTATCTCAAAAGCCTGTCTTGTGGCAGTTTACCGTGTCCTCCATTTACTAGGGAAAGTGTATCAGTTGTTCACAACTGAAGACACCCAGATCCATTTCCTCTGGTTGTTATTTGTTGGATAGCTAGACTCTAATGGTTGAAATCTGTATCTACCAACATAAAAGCTGCAGGATATGACACTGCTATCTTGTGCTTCCAATCAGCCTCCTGGTATTACAGCAGTACTTTTTATTTAAGTGTATTTCTACTGTGTTCAGCCTGCTCAAGCCCTGCACGCTGTTTTACATAGCATCTGTATGTGGGGATAATTGAAAACTCAACACAGCCCAGAGGCAGATGCACAACACGATAGGAGTGGGCTGGGGCATAACTCAGAAGAATAAGACAGGCAGACAGCAGCAAGCAGGGCAAAGCCAGCCTCAGCAGCATCTCCACCAGAAGATGCCAGAAGCAGTCGCAGTGGGTCGGGGCCTGGTAGCTGGGGGTCCCGTGGGAGCAGGAGAACTCCAGATGTTTCTTCTTCTGCCATCACGGGGCCAAACATCTGGGAGCACAGAGCATAGGCAGGGTGTGAGGCTCACCTGGAAAATCACATGGACAGATCAACACCAGATTCATGACCATGCACTTCACTGACACTCCCATTCTCTGCATCCTTTGCAGGGAGGTTCCTGCTCCTAAAACATCATCTAAGCCAACATTAGCAGAAAACGGGTCAGATAGTATTTTTCTGGTGTTTCAGAAATGTAACATATATATCAATAAATGCCACTTGCTATTTGAATACTCATCATAAGAATTACTGAAATGACTGGAATAGGGCACAGTATTTCTTCCTATTAGCTTAAGTGGGAAGAAAGCAAAAGCGCCAAGAGTGTAAAAAGGAGACAAGAAGCAATAATGAGAAAACAAGTTGTGGCATGGAGAAGTATTTCTTGACTGTCCTCTTGGCTCTCTCTGTGAAGATTTAATCCAACAACCTCAGCCAAAAGTAGTTATTGGGTGTTTTGTATGTCTGGTCTGGTTGTTCCAGGCAGGAGGGGTTTCCGAGAAGCACACAAGTAGGTCTCTACAGTGGGAATCACGAGTTTTTTCATGTGAGCAGCACACCTGAGCTGAGGAGGCTGTTTGAAGGAGTTAGATGTGGCCCTACCTTGTAGCAGCATTCCCAGAAGTTGCTGACGTTCGGTTGTCCCCACACACTGAAGATCTATGGCTTTCCATGGGTCATTTGGCATGGTGAGGAAGGAAGATGGACTAGTCCGGGAGACTTAGGCTGTAACATTGAGATAGGTTGAAACACTCCACCAGTTAGGGCTCTCCCTTAAAGGTATGTTGTTATAAACAGATGCCTAAAACCACCCAGGGGAGCAGGTCAGAGCAGTTCCTATATCTCTGCCCTTTGCCTTGGCTCTGCTCCCCAAATTCTCTGCCCAAATACCCCAACTACAGCAGCTCTGCTCCTGCACCCTGCCCTGTTCACTCTTCTCTTACCTTTTTCTTCCTCTGTTTAAGTCTAAGGAGAGTCATCAGTAGTGAACTGATTATAGGAAACTCATTTACATCATCAGTTCCATAGTAGGACAGACTTCTTTAATTATCTAAGAGAAATACTTTTAATTAAGCAAATTTCCCACTCAGTTCATTGTGGACAATCCCATCATAATTGATATTACTTCTGTGTGCGAAGTCTTAATCTTCACCCATACTGAATGCAAAACATGAAACCATTAGAAAACAAAAATACAGCCTTGCTCTAATATTGCCATTTTAAAGCTGCCAGCTTTGATAGTCATCGGTATGATGACAACACACCCCTGGCTAATGAATTTGACTACAGATCAGGGTTTTTATCAGCTATAGATATGAGATCAAATCCATACAGGCATATTATTTGCAGGTTTTATTAAAAAGTTAAATCGGAATTATTAGAAACTCTCTTCAGATTCCTTAATAATAAAAGAAAATAAAGTTAAACTCTAATGAGATTTCCTGGAAGTGTTTTAAAAGGCTGCAGCAGCAGTAAAGTCAGCAGGCACCACGCAGCAAAAGGAAGTATTTACTGATCAGGAGATGAATGTCTCCTCCCCCAGTTTAACGGTTTTACATTTTACAGGTTTATAAGAGAGAGGGAGAAAGCAAGAAAAACTCCAAGACAACGCTTTCCTCATCTTAGACATCGTATTTCTTGTGATCAAAGCCTTCAAATCCTGGTGAAAACTGACTTTTTGCTCCCATGACCAAAACCTCACTCTTTCCCCCTCCTCCCTCCATCTGTTCAGGCTTGTGTTTGGAAGTCCCTACCACAGAGGCAGAAAGGCTGATCCCTATTGCCTCGTATGTGGTGTGGAAACCCATTAATATTCCTCTGGCAGGTACCCTGACCCCGCTGCCCTTGAACATGCTTGGGAACACAGGGTATTCCTGAGCCTTTGTCCCTGGGAGGATTAACAGGGTTGCCCTAGAGCCAGCCTGAAGGTGTTTTAATAGGTAATACGGGTGGGCTGCTCAGCTGACTTCAAGCTTTGCCTCAGGCTGCCCCTGCTCAGCAGCATAGGTGCAGGCATTGAAATGGTGGGGGAAAGCTCATTTCTGCGTGGTTCTGTGCATGGTTAGGGTTTGAATCCTCGGAATTTGGGGGATGATAGCTCCAAATATCCCATCCACCCCAGTGCGGCAGCATCCCAATGGAGGAAATCCATGCTGGAGACCTGCTCTGCTTCTGCCACTCTGACCTTTAGTCAGGGATTTATGCTCTTCCCCACCCCCCTCTATTTTATTTTCCTCTCTGGTCTTTCTCATGCCTTTGAAACTTATAATTTGCCTGAAGAAGGGAGCGTGGCTGTCTGTGTGGCTTAGCACAAGGAGGTGCCAGTCTCAGCTGGGTCCTGGGGCTTTATCAGGGTGGAAGCATATAAACAGATAATAGTAGTAACAATGGCCACCTTTTTGTATGAGCAATAGGATCCTAATGGAGGAGAAGCCTCTCCTCTGAGGTGTTCTTAGCTGCAAGTGAAGGTGTCTCTTTCCTTCTCAGCTGGGGAAGATACTGCCTTTTAAATCAGACAAAACTTGTCATGTAAAATGGAGCACATCTTTGATTATATGGAATACCATCCTGCCTGTAATTTACCTCCGCGGCTGCAAAGGACGCAACATGTTTAAGCTAAGAAATGATAAACTGAGCATTATGTGTCAGGATGGAAGAAGATATTTCCTATCTAAATAGGAAACAATCATCAAAACCCAGTGAAAATACACACGAAACTGTTTCAACATACAGTAAGGCACCCCGCTCTTGCCTTATGTTGTATTGAAGCCCTCCTTGCTCAGATTGCTGCAGACACTTGTCCTGTAGACTACAATAAATAGTCTTTGTTTTCACAACCCCTGGAATGATTTTGTAATGATGTGAGTATCTTTCCTTCATAAGTGCCCATGTTCTGCTGCCTTCTCTGTCTTGCCAATTCTCCTGTGTTTCCCTGGGTGAGTCCACGTTCTCAAATTGTAGCTGTGTGCAGTGTATTTTCCTGGAGCTGGTAAAGCCATTGCTACTTCACTTAATAACTATGTTTTAGCAGTACCTGCTATCACTTGTTATCGGACATACACCAGAGGGGGAAAGGGGTCATTATCCCCATTCTACAGACCAGGAAACCAAAGCGTTGCGTTTAACAGCAGTTTTTCCCCAGACATGCTGAAGAACGTGCAAACAGGAGAAAGACCAACATCCCTTCAGCTCACATTTCACCGCTTAGCATTTGTAACTGCTTTTTTGCCCCCTTTAATATTACCACCTGCAGCACTGTGCCCTTCCGCCAGCTTTGCAGAGAATGATCACAGCAGAGCCAAGTGCTTTTTGCGATCACAAATTCAGATACTGCAGCAAACAATGCGAGTAATTTTCCTAATTTTAGAGTGTGACTTTGCCATGTGTGATGTTTTGTAACTTGCATCGTGTTTCTGATGGGTTCTGGATCCGATGCCAATAACATGCTCTGCTCCCATCCAAATTAGCATACGATGAAATTTGGAGCTAGTATTCAGATGATAAGGTCTGTTTGCTGTTTCCATATAGATGTATCTTTGACAGGAAGAGCGATTCTATAATAAGCCCAGGATGAAAAACCCATCAATCGAATTGGTACCACATTACCATGGCAACAATATAATGCTAATGAAATTGTGACTGTTGAACCTTGTTTATGGAACTCGACAAAATGGGCTTCATAAAACAAGAAATCATGTCGCTTAGTAAATGTTTCAAAGCATGATAAAACCCTTACAATCACGTGTGCTGTGACTTATTAACCACATTATCATCCTCGGTTAACATAATGCATTGCTGTTCATAATAAGCATTTATTTCCTCGAAGAAATAACATTATATAGGGAAATCTGTGCTTCTCCAGGTTTCAATGTGCACCACAAAGTCTCACTCACCTCCACGCCCCAGTTCACTGGGTCGGATGGCATGGGGGGCATATCTAGTCACGCAGTTGTTATGCTTGTTTAGTCCCTCAAAATCTATAAACCACACTGCTACTGTAGCTGCAGAAAACACCATTTCTGTAAGACAAACGTTGCTCAATTTATATCAAAATATTCCACTAAAACATGTCCTTTCAGATGAAACCCTACACAGAGGGTGTCTGGTAGCAGTAATGTGCTCTTGGCTTCCCCCCTTCTTTCTTCCTTCCCCTTTGGCAGTTTACTGCTATATAGGGCCCAGATGCAGAGGCAGGCAGTCACCCTCCCAGAAGGATGGCTCTCATTCCTCAGCACAGTGGACCTTGCTCAAGGCAAGGTTTGATGTTATGTCCTGCTTTTAAACAAGAAAATGCTGAGCATCCTGATTTCCCAGTATCTTGAGAGCCAGCAGGCTCACAGGTTTGGGTCCTTAAGATCATTCAGTTCCCAGCCCCTGCCATGGGCAGGGACACTTCACACTAGACCATGTTGCCTAAGGCCCTGTCCAACCTGGCTCCTGGGGAGTTGCCTCACCTCTAAGCACCTCCACTGTTGAGTTTTGCACAGCACCATCTCATTTTTAGCTAATGGATAGTTTTTCCTCATTGTTTTCACCTCGGAAATAAAATGTAGTACACCTAATGAGTCCATCTCCTAATTTGCCAGGTAAATCAGAACACAGGAGCAGGTGAACAGGCAAGCAATGAGCTCAGTGAGACAAGGGGGCTGGGAATACGTGATCTATGAGGTTTTTTCTTTAGCAGGCTAATAATATTGTCAAATAGTCACCACAGTAGTATTACCTAGATATTTAGCACAGGGAATAGGAGAGAACACTGCTCATTTTAGCGATGTCCTGACTACATGGAACAGAAGTCAGTGTGAATCTTTACCACATTAGATTTAATGGGCTTTAAATCAGGGCTTTTAAAGGCTGGTTTTGAAAGCTCCATGTTTCATCCTATTTGGAAAAGGAAGCCCTGTCTAACATTCCGTTATACCCACCGTTTGTGAGAAAGCAACGCACTGAATTTCTGCATTGATAGAAATATAATGCAATGTAATTCCACTTAATATATATTTTGCATTGGCTGACAGCTTTATTAAGCAGAACCAATAATCATCATTATCCAGTGTAATAACCATCTCATTAGAAATGGTTTAATTTTCCCTAATTTTAATTTACCTCTTGGACTGAGCTGATCTGAAATTCCTGAAGTGCCTCTGGTTCAGTTTTGAAAGAATTAAAAGGAAACAAAAGTCTTCAGAAAGCTCCTGCTGACTGATTGCTGCTCGAAGAGAGGCACAATAGAGCTTTGTATCTGGTGTATCTCTGGTGTGTTTGTACCAGACAGAAGGAAGTCCACAACATTCAGGTAAGGAATTACTACATCACTTTTTTTTCCTTACTGGCTTTGAAGTAACACTTTCTGCACCCATTTTGCACAGTGATAAATTGTGTGGTTGACTGCAAGCCTTGCATGCACTCCCCTTTAATAAAGGACCTGGCTAAGGATCGCTCCAAAGAGTGCTCGTGGGGAGGAGCTGACAAGCAGAAACAGTTCTTAGAGGGATGAAGAAGGAGATGAAGACACCCATCAAGTTTCATTATCCTCCAACGAAAATAGGATGTAAACTGTGACATCCTGGCAGATTACATATGTCAGGCAAGCAGATGTGAGCAGAAAAATGTAGATGCTAAATCTCACCTAATAGGCTTACTCTGTGGATTATTCACAATGACCAAGGCTGTGTTAACTGTAGTAGGATATAAGAAATAAGTGAATCTGGGGACATTTCCAGCTG